CCAGACAATAGCTATTGCTTTAGCCATTGCACCATCCCCATCGGTGATTGCTGAAATTGGTGCCGTCTGGGACATTGCCTCCAAAAATACATGAAGAAGCCACTGGTATGATGCAACTGTCTCGTCTGACACTAGACCGACCCCAAAGAAAACTGTGCTGCGGTGATGGTTTAGACCAACAAATGGAACAAACGGAAGCATGTACTTGTTAGACCGATATGTACTGTCGAACACCACGACACCACCAAAGGCAACATAGTCAATGCGGGATTGTGAGTCATCTCAGAATATGTTCCTCAAATGGCCTTCGTTGTCTTTTGTGTATTTGAGAAAGAATTTCAGGTCTGCTTTTTTTTGTGCAATCATATAGGTGAGCAAATATCTAGCGTCACTGCCTTCTATCTTGCGCTTCTTCTAGACTGAAACATGGTTGTATACATCTCGATCTATAAATACAAGCTTGTCGGGACCTCCGACATTCTTCTCCATTACATTCATAATCTGATGTGTTCGAAGTCCACCGACAGCATACTCGATGACATCGGCCTTTTGTGCGCCAGTCATTCTACGATGAGCCGACAAGTACGGAGTCAGGTCAGCAGGGACAAACAGATGGTTATGCTTGTCCACAAAATTCTTGACGAACCAGAGGCCACTGCTATCTTGTAGCTCAACCTGAAAAAGAGCGGGACACCCACACCGAGAAAGACCCCTCGGTGTTCTTTTTCTTTCAGCTCTGTTAAAGTGCTTAAGGGCCTGCCATCCTTGTTTGCAGCACTTGTATGTCCTTCTATATGCATTTTGTTTCGGACCTGGATCCCCCTGTACTTCAGATCATCCTTTCTAACACCAAATCCTTTTTTTCTCGCATAGCCTACATAGAACATGTAGGCTTCTTCCTCAGTCGTGAACATCTTCTTCACAATCTCTAAGTATTCCATACACTCATTCAGGTCTGAACCAGCCATGCCTTTATTATCAATTCCTTTACCTTGCATGTGTACATCATCCATGTCTATGCCATCCTTGCCTGCATCCTCATTATCCTTATCATCCATGCACATACCATCCATTCCTTTGGGGTCCATGCCTTTGCCTTCGTTGCCTCTATGACCCATGTCCTTGTCATCCTTGCCTGTATCACCCAAGTTTTTGCCATCGTTGCCTTTATCATCCATGTCATTATGCTGCCAGCGAAAACAGATAGTCAATGTTACGGATGGATAGCATACGTTACCAAAATTATGCACTACTCTGCTTAAATAATTGATTTAATTTTTCATATCGGATTCATGTACCTAACTCAGTCCTTCAAAAGATGTAAGTAAATATGCCCTGACTAAATCCAGAACTTTGTAATTGATTGTACTAGCTCTAACTGATGATCTCCTAACTAAATCCAAAGTCCATGAGTCCGTCAAATGCCTTGATAGATTCACCCTGATAGATCAATTATCTCCAAACTCCATTCAAAATTATCTCCTAACTAAATCCAAATTATCTCCTAACAAAATCCAAAAGTATGTCCTAACTAAATCCAAATTATCTCCTAACTAAATCCAAACTAAGTCCAAACTCCATACAAGATAATTATCTCCTAGCTAAATCCAAAATATCTCGAAACTCAATTCAAAAGTATCTCATAACTAAATCCAAAATAACTTTCTTTGAATCCAAATCTGCTGACAACTTTCTCATGCACATAATCCTAACTAAGTCCTTCAATATGTCCTAGCTACATCCGACTTACACTTCCTTTCAATCGTAATCTCATCACAACTTTCTGAAAACATAAACCCTAATCCCCAGATGACATATCCTAAACCCTAACCAAATCCGACCGAAATCTCCTCACAACTTTCTGAAACGATAAACGATAAACCTCACATGACATATCCTAAACCCGAATCAAATCCGACCCCTATTGGTTCTATATGCAGAAGGGACCAGAAAAGATTTGAGATGGCTAGGCACTTACAGCGAAGATCCGGCGTGAAAAAGTTGATGCACGTCGATGAGGATGATGTGGCCTCTCGGGTCGGGGAAGGTGACGTCCGCTCGGGGAAGGAGTGGATTAGCGGCTCGTCGGAAGATCTGGCGCCGCGACCCGAGTGGGGTGACTTGCGATGGAGGGGGAGGGGAGGAGTAGGAGCAGGAGGGGTAGACACGGCGGGTGCGATCGGCGGCGATCGAGGGCGCCAGAGGCGATCGTGGGGGCCCGAGGTTAGGGCTCGAAAGGAGGAGAGAGGACGAACCGCTCTAACCGAAATTCAAAAGAGTACGCACGATGATGGGACCTCTATAATGAAGTGCTTTATTAATGCAATTAATTTAATCGAAAAATTTAGGACGAGAATACCCCTGAACCAAATTGGGCCGATTAAAGGTAAAAAATATTTAAGTCGAAAATACCCTTAGGCTTAAAAAGGCTCAATTATTCTCATTCGTTAGATCGGCCATATAATACATGTGCTCTGGTGTATAATAATGCACCGTAAAATTTCCCTATAATAATGGACACCGCGGCCGCAGATCAGGACCTTTGCGTGCATGCAACTAAAAACATTTGCAACATGCCCACAACGCGGCTGAGCTTAGGCCTGAGCATCACCACTGGATCGACGCACAACCATCAACGCTGAGGACTTGAGAGTCGTCGGCGCCACGTATGCGAGCATCGTTACTTACTTTCATTGTATTTGTATGTATAATACTCCCTTCGTTGGTTTTGGTGGGAATCTTGGCTGGTTTAGTGCGGCCGTGCAGTACTTAATATATTGCCGGTAGGTGCTAATCTCATCTGACGCACCATGCATCGCCTGCTGGCCGGTGCACAACAACAGTCAGCACAGCAGGGGACATGAGCACATGATGCGGCCAGGGCCACATATGATTCAGAGATGTTTGTTTATATATCCTGCCATGATTGCATATAAGTATCATCCCTTTTGAGCGCACCAGCGACATACATACTCATACTCTTTATTCAATTCAAAGTTTATCTGTACCTCTGTATTGCATGTTCTTCTGTATCTACATTCCAATCTCTGCATGCACGATCCACTCAGAAAAGAAATATCTCTACATGCATGCATGCATTAAGGTGGCCAGCATGCATCCATGCATGTGAAGAGCTACAAACTACTTCCTCCATCTCATAATATAAGATCGTTTCCTCTGCTAAAATACAGATACTCATTTTGCTTAAAATTTGTCAATAAAGTACCGTCCTAATACACTTTCTAGTCATTACTGCTCTTTTTGTATTCAGGCCTTCAGCTACTCTGAACCTTTGTTTTTTTGCGTGTGGCAGTTACCCTGAACTTGAAAGTGAGGCGAGGCCAGAGGACACACTATCAAGGATCCATCGCTTGGCCTCAAGTTGTGTATTGTTTCCCACTCCACATATAATTGTATTAAGATGGTATTCGTCACAATTCACAAACCATTATACTAGGAAATCCATCTACCAGTACTATTATGCAAATCTTGCCGGGGGAGGCAGGCCGCCCACATGCATGCGTCGTTGTATTCTTGTGCTCTCAAGTGATTGTGCTTTTGGCGGCTTTCGGCTGCCGGCCGGAGCCCACACAAGGCAGCATGTGCACCTTCACCTACACATACGTGTATGCATTCAAAGAAGAGCAACGTATAGTGTTACGTTGACAGGTGGGGCCAAAAAGAATGCTGTCGGCATCACGTGTAAGGTATGGCCATTTCCATCTTTTATAAACCAGAAGGAGAACTGTTTTCCTTTTCCCTTTTACACTCTGATAGCGAGTGTTTTTCGATGCTCACAATCACCTCCACTGGATTCTTCAGATAGGGAGAATGAAGGAGGATTGATCACATATACGAAAATGACCAACTTGACTATGGCACCATGCTACTCTCTCTGTAAAGAAATATAAGAGCGTTTATATCATTAGTTTAATTATCTATACACTTTTATATTTGTTTATGGATGGAGTAATTGCAAATGCTTATGACTAGAAACTGTTTTGAGCCTTTTATTTTCTAACATAGCGTCCTCCAGGCCAGATAAATCAGTTTGAACGACAATTATTGTGGGACAGAGGCAGTATTACACAATACCTTACCGTTATTGTGATCACTTATTATTATTATTATTATTATTATTATTATTATTATTATTGTGCTAGTGGGAGCTCCCGCATGAAAATGAAAAATAAACATGAAAAGGAAATGGGAACCAATAGAGACCGCCAACTTGCGCAGTTAATTATTCCCTGGAAATTGAAGAAACCAACCGTGCTGTCTTCACTTGGGCGCAAAGAGGCCAAGCAGAGGTGGTGAACCCTGAAAGTGAAGCTCTAGGATAGGAGAACGGGAGCCAACAAACAAGAAGAATAAAAGCTAGGAGGGGTCCGAGATTCCCGCTGGACCTTGGTTCCCTTCCCTTTTCTTGGCTCATTGGAAGGCCCTGCCTGCCATCTGGGTTCCCGGCGACTGGCGCAGGAGAGCGTGGGGTTTTGGGAACTCCAGCATCAACCCCATCATTTCTTTGGTGCACTGGCTTTTGGGGCGAAATTGGTAAGGTTTTATATCTTTCCCTTTTTCTGCTGCCTCAGTTTGTTGGTTTGAATTCCATAGTCTTTCTTATTGAATTATCTTTTTTCGTTGGTTTGATGTTGTTTGTTAGGATCGGCTGCCATGCCAAAAGCTGGTACGAATGCTGAGATTTGCCTTCTCCCCTTTGCAGTATCAGGTGCTGTGTTCATGGCCCAAGGGTACTGATTGGTGGGGATCCCAGCGCTTGCAACGGTTTTGTCCAAGGCAGCCTTGCTTCCCGTAAATCAAAGCAGCCAAGTCTTGGATTTTCTGCGATCACAATCTCAGCTCCTTAGAAATTGCAGATTAGGTGGCTTGTTCTCAAGCAGCCGTAATCGCCGGAGTTGGTGAGGCAAGGGGTTAAGAACAGGGGTGTTACAGATTGAGGAATCCCTCCGGTCACGTCTGGTTCATTCTTGGGCTTGGGCATGGAGAGGCAGACCAGCTTCCGCCTGGGCGCGCTGGAGAAGCTCAAGAGCTTCCGGGGGATGGACAACTTCCGGCGGAGCAAGGACAGCCCCGGCAAGCGTGGTGACACGCCGCTCCACCTCGCGGCGAGGGCCGGCAGTGTCTCCAATGTCCAGAGGATCCTTGCCGAATCCGGCCGGGAGATGGCCGGCGAGCTGGCCGCCCGGCCGAACCAGGACGGGGAGACGGCGCTGTACGTGGCCGCTGACAAGGGGCACACCGAGGTGGTGCGCGAGATCCTGAAGGTCTCTGATATGCAGACGGCGGGGATCAAGGCCAGCAACAGCTTCGACGCTTTCCACATCGCGGCCAAGCAGGGCCATCTGGGTAAGCTGTTTTCCTTGTCACCAGTCCAGCATATTGTTCTGATAATTCTTTTCTATCCAAATCCTGTGAAATGATTCCTTCGAAGTCTGTGTAATCAGGATTTGGGCATAGATTTTGGTGCAGTGAGTAGATTGCTCCGGGTCAAAAAAATGTCTATTCTTATCTGATTGAGTTGGTGACATAGTGGTGCTCACATCAAGAACAGTGATTTTGTTCATGATCTTTTCATCTAAGAATAAGTGCTAACATCTGGCCATCTTTTTCTCATTAATGTCTGAAACGAATGCATACCTGAGTTGATTTAGACTCTAGTCTTGACTATTTTATGTAGGTGGCAACTGACAAGTTGAGTTTCTCTGTAGCACCAGCAGTCCTAATTTATGAGGGCTAGGGAAAATCTGGGTTATTCTCAAAGAAGTTATGGTGTGATGTAATAAGAGATAGTCGTAGTTGTGTTGTGCACGTTGGATATAATGCAACCACTAGTTAGATCTTATCTCACTCTGCTTCATTCTCTATTGGAGTTTATATCATTCTGATCTGTTGACTTTCTGATAGCGGAGATCGAATTACAGTCATAAACCATAGCTGTAATTACCTGCTTGATAATATGGTTTAAGGTAAATTTCCAAAATATATGTGGCTTATTCTCTTGTTCCATTTCTTGATTTCACAGATGTATTGAAGGAGCTGTTGCAGGCCTTTCCTGCTCTAGCAATGACTACAAACTCTGTAAACGCCACGGCTTTGGAAACTGCTGCCATTCAGGGTCACATTGATATTGTCAACCTCCTACTGGAAACTGATGCTAGCCTTGCCAAAATTGCGAGAAATAATGGGAAAACAGTTTTGCATTCCGCGGCGAGGATGGGCCATGTGGAAGTTGTAAGATCCTTGTTAAATAAGGATCCAGGGATTGGTTTGAGAACAGACAAGAAGGGACAGACGGCACTGCATATGGCGTCCAAAGGAACGAATGCTGAAATTGTGGTTGAGTTGTTGAAGCCTGATTTCTCAGTTAGCCATCTAGAAGATAACAAGGGGAACAGGCCACTGCATGTTGCGACTCGGAAGGGCAATATCGTTGTAAGTGAACAGATATTGTGAATCATTTTCTACAGTTACATATATTTACCGTTTTCAGTTATGCTGTTTATCAATCATTTGCTATTCTGTCCTGTCACAGTGTTACTGAACCTAGTTTTGCTAAGGCTAATTGGAGCATAAAGTTCAGCAGCTTTTTTTTGCTGTAAACATCTTCTCTGCTTAGGATTGCAATAATGTTTTTCTTTCTTTCAGTAAACAAATAAATAAAATTAAGAACAAGATTATTTGAACCTGTTAGAGGCATAATATTTCACTGAAGCTGAACATAAACATGATGTAGCTAGGGTTCTTGGAAAGAAGGATTGATGTCTCTTAGTAATTGTTCTATTGAGAACTTTCCAGTTCCTATTCTGCAGTGGTTTTTGTATATTGACTGATCCATGTGTGATTCCTTGCAGATATTGCAGACTCTACTATCAGTTGAGGGGATTGATGTCAATGCAGTTAACAGATCTGGAGAGACTGCTCTTGCCATTGCTGAGAAGATGAACAACCAAGAACTTGTCAACATTCTGAGAGACGCCGGCGGCGTCGTAACTGCAAAAGAGCCGGCGCATCCTGCAAACCCGGCAAAGCAGCTGAAGCAAACCGTGAGCGATATCAGGCACGACGTCCAGTCCCAGATCAAGCAGACACGGCAGACCAAGATGCAGGTCCAGAAGATCAAGAGCAGGCTGGAGAAGCTCCACATCGGCGGCCTGAACAACGCCATCAACTCCAACACGGTCGTGGCGGTGCTCATCGCCACCGTGGCCTTCGCCGCCATATTCACCGTGCCCGGCAACTTCGTGGAGGACATGAGCCAGGCGCCCCCCGGCATGTCCCTGGGGCAGGCGTACGTGGCCAGCGACCCGGCCTTCATAATGTTCCTGGTGTTCGACTCGCTGGCGCTCTTCATCTCGCTCGCCGTCGTGGTCGTCCAGACGTCGCTGATCGTGGTGGAGCAGAAGGCCAAGAGGAGGATGGTGTTCGTGATGAACAAGCTCATGTGGCTGGCGTGCCTCTTCATCTCCGCGGCGTTCATAGCGCTGACCTACGTCGTGGTCGGCCGCGGAGACTGGTGGCTGGCATGGTGCACCATGGCCATCGGCGCGGTGATCATGCTCACCACCCTCGGCTCCATGTGCTACTGCATCGTGGCGCACAGGATGGAGGAGAAGAGCATGAGGAAGATCAGGAAGGCCTCCGCGAGCCAGTCCCGATCATGGTCCATGCCGGTCGACTGGGACCCGGAGCTGATCAACACCGAGTACAAGAAGATGTACGCGTTGTAGATCAGGGTCACGATCACGTCGCGGGGATCTGTACATAGTTATTATCATCAGGCGCTGTTTCGCTCGAGTCTCTTCGATCGAGTGATGAATAACTTTCAGTGGGGTTTTGACATTTTGACATGAACCGAAGGTACTTTTGCTGCTGAAACAGTATCACCTCAGCTGTGCTTGTATTGCAGCCTGGATGGAGATAAGGCACCTGGATCCGTCTGGTGCATGCTGTATGGATTCGTGGTAGTCCTTGTAAGTGGCATCTTGTACGCATAATTTTGCACGAGTACCTACAGTTTTTAGAGAAGGGAGCAAAAGATTTATAAGAAATTCTCGTGGGATGCGAACATTCGACAAAGATAACACTACATCCACACCTACCAATGTCCTAAGACTACTCTATCACAAATCTCTTGAAACCATCCACACCACCTATAGCAATCTCCATCGCGATGCGGCTGATCGATGGGTTTGAAAAGAGGATTCGTGCCTTCTTTTGAAAAGGGACCGACGTTGTCAGCGGTGGCCATTGTCTGGTGGCTTGGGAGCAAGTGTGCAAGCCGTTCGAGTATGGTGGATTGGGCATCCTGAACCTCAAGCTATTAGGCTATGTGTTTTGGGCATGCTGGCTATGTGTTTCGGGCCTCGTCGGCATGGATCTCAGGCGGGGGCGGCGCGGCGTGTCGCCCCGAGGCGGACCCCGCGGGAGGGGCTCGCTTTCCTTGCGGTTCCGGCCGTGGAGGAGAGTCTCCTGCTTCAGGAGGCTGCACGGGGTCCAGGGGCGGCTGCTGCGGCGGCGACGACGCGGCTTGCGGCGCCAGCGACGACGGTGCTTGCAGCGCCGGCGTCGGGGGGATCGCCTGGCTCTAGGGTTGGAGATCCAGAGCAGGGGGATCGACCCGGTGGGCTGGGGGCCCAGTTGGGCCTGGGGACCTGCGTGGATGCGCGGTTAGTTCCGGCCTCTGGACCGGCCCAAGTGGTGGAGGCTGACCTGGTGGGGCTGCGACAGGGGAGCCCAGTCCCTCTAGGCAGGCAGCCCAACCCGCTCGGCCCCGGTCCAACGGAGAGGGTATATAAATCGATCTGGCTGCCGAAGGGTGCCCTAGATCCATCGCTAGGGTTTCCAGCCACCAGATCGGAGGCGCGATGTCTTGGTTCTTCCGTCCGTGTCCTCATCCCCTCTCACCCCCCGCCGCCCCTCGCGTGGTCCTTCGCCGAGGTGGTGGCCATGGGTTCCAAGGCTGATCGTCGGGCGGACAAACGCCCCCCCTCCTCTCGACCTTGCGGCGGAGCGCGACCGCAAGCGCGAGCTAAGGGCGCAGGCCAAGGCGCAGGGCGCGGCCCGCGAAGGCGAAGCTGGTGGTTGGGGGCCGCCGCCGGCGTGGTGGCTGAAGGAGCAAGAGCGGAAGAAGCGCAAGAAAGAAGAGTACAAGCGGAAGGGGCTCGAGCTCAAGCAGATCGAGGAGATGCCCCAGTTCCAGGGTGACCGTGTGGGCGATCCCTATGCCGCAAAGAAGAAGAAGTTCAAGTCCGCGGGAAAGGCACGCTCCAAGTCGCCGGTCGCGCAGCTCGAGGGGTCCTCCAAGGGCACGGCCGCCGAGCCCATTCCGGTGGAGGAGGCCGACGACCGTGAGTGCTTCAAATGCGGCATGGCGGGCCACTTCCAAAGCTCCTGCAAGTTCCTGCTGCTCTGCATCCTGTGCTCACAGAAGGGCCACGTCTCGGCCTGCTGCCCCTCCCGAGGCAAGCCGCTCCTGCTCCAGACGATGGGGCACGCCATCCAGGGAGGCGGCTTCTTCTGTCTCCAGTTCCCAGAGGAGGCCGAAGACACGCAGCAAGGCTTTGGGATCAATGCGGCCATCCTCTCTGCGGCTCCGGGTGTGCTGTCGAAGGAGCTCCTGGAGGTCGAGCTGCCACACCTGTTCGAGGGAGAATGGGACTGGCAGGTCGCGCAAGTCGATGCCGACAGCTTCTCCGTGGTGTTTCCAGACCCATCCATGTTGCGCATGGCCACGCGCAGTGGAAAGCTATTCCTCTCCATCAACAATATCACTGTGCTGATTCGGGATGCTACGGCCGATGCGCCCAAGGGTGAATCCATGCCTGAGATCTGGGTGAAGCTGTGGGGCATTCCCCCAAAGCACCGCAAGGTGGACCGTCTCATGGCGGGGCTGGCGATGCTGGGCCGACCACTTGTGGTGGATGAGCTCTCTCTGATCCGTTCTGGCCCGGTGCGGATGCAGTTCGTGTGCCGCAAACCTGAGTTGATGCGGGGCTCTGTCCAAATCTGGTTCAATGGGGAGGGTTTTCTCATCAAGCTTGAGCCGGAACTCGACCCCCCCCCCCGTCGCGGGGCGCCGGCGCTGCCGCCCCTCCCCCTCCCAGCAAGGACAAGGGTCCGGACCGTGATGACCCTGACAAGGACAAGCAACAGGACCGGGGACGCAACAAGGACCAAGACGCGAGCATGAAGGACGACTCCATCGACACGGCGGCCTAGGAGAAGCTTGGGATTCGGGTGCGGGCTCTCCGGTGCCTCGAACCCGCCCAATGGACGCTTCGGCCTCGGCGGTGGCCATGGACATCGAGGTGGCTAACCAATACGGCTCCAATCAGGGGCTGGCCTCCCCACCTTCTGCGGCTCTGCTTGACAAGGGGACGACGGCGTCCTGCGCCACGGGCGTGCCGGCAGGGGAGCGCACACCCTTGGTGCTGTCCCCAAGCTCTACCCTCCCGACCACCACCAAGTCGCCAGCTTCGGGTGGGCTGGGGGCAGCAAAAGTGGCTCGGTGCGGCAAGCGAAGAAGCTGGCTGGGCGCAAGATCAACACTGAGGGCGTCCGCTCCATGGACCCGCTGGGCGCACCTCCCACTCCTCGGCAGACGGTGATGGCGCTCGCCTCCTCCTCGCGCTCCCTCTCGGCGATGTCCTGGCCCAGGAGGTCTCCAAGGCGGCGCCGATCGTGCAGGCGTGGCGGTCCAAGGTGGTGCCATCGGTCCCGATCCGCTCCAGCTCGCGTTCCAGGGGCTCCAAGGCGGGTCTTCCGGTGATGCAACGGGTGCAGCTCATCCAGGCCCAGAAGAACCTCGATCTCTCAGGTAATCCTCCACCGCGCTTTTCTGTCTTGCAAACTTTTTCGGATGACCATCTTAGTGAGGTTTTAGAGGAGAGTGGGGTGGATGCGTCATGTCTAGGTGGCACGCGCGAGCTGCTGCCTCTGTTGCGTGCTACGGAGCAGGCGCAAGCCGCGCTCGCAGCTGCGGCTGTGGCTGCGGCGCACGCGGACCAGGTGGTAGGCAGGGGATCCTCTCACACTAGCGGTCCGGCCCGACGAGGGGGATTTGGCAACAGGGGTTGGCCCCCCTTCCTCACCTTGCCGGGCCAAGGTGAGGCGTGTGGCCAAAGCGGTGTCTTCGAGAGGCATCCGCCTTCGCAATAGGATTATTTAGATGCGGGCTATTTTTTGGAATATCCGAGGGTTCGGTCACACGGGCCGCCGGACCCAGCTTAAGGAATTTATGCGAAAAGAGGGGATCGACATAGTGGCCCTGCAGGAAACTATCAAGGCTGACTTTAGACATCACGAATTGCTGGCCATTGATCCCCTCGAGAGGTTCTCGTGGAACCATGTCGCGACGTCTGGGCACTCCATGGGTATGTTGCTTGGATTTGACAACGCCGTGTATGAGGTGCTGGCATGGGATGCGGGCGTCTTCTTCATGGCTGGCCATATTCGCCACCGTCAGACTTAGCGGGAGCTGGTGGTGATACAGGTCTACGGCCCGACCGACCACTCGCGCTCGGCTGTTTTCCTGGGCGAGCTTCATCAGAAGGTTCTCGCTGTGAGCTCTGCGCTGATCCCTCTCGTGGTCGGGGGGGGGGGGTTAACCTGATTCGCTCGGGAGCGGACAAAAACAATGACAACATAAACTGGCCAAGGGTAGCCATGTTTAATAATGCCATTGCCTCCATGACTCTTAGGGAGGTGGCCAGGTTGGGGGGGCGCTATACTTGGACCAACAAGCAGTTGGCCCCGATTAGATCTGTGCTAGATAGGGTTTTCATCTCGCCCGATTGGGAGCTGGTTCATCCTCTGTGCTCGCTAGTGGCTGAGACCAGAATCGGGTCAGACCACATTCCCCTAATTCTATCTTCAGGGGAGGATAGGATTCGTAGAAGCCCTCGTTTCTTTTTCGAAACTGCCTGGTTTGAAAACCCAGAGTTTGACTCCATCTTCAGAGCGAAGTGGTACGCTTGTGTTAGCCAGGTGACTAACCAGCGGGGCCCAATGGACTTTTGGATCGCGGCAGGGAGCCGCCTCCGGGCCAGCCTTAAGGGATGGGGGGCCAACATGGGCCGTCGGGACAAGGTGCTCCGGGAGGGCATCCTTGGTGAGATTACAAGCCTCGACCAACAGGCGGACGCGCGGCCTTTCTCTGAACAGGAATGGGCTTGTCGCTACGCCTTGGAGGACCATGTGCAGTCTCTCCTGCGTGCGGAAGAAGAATACTGGAGGCGTCGAGGTGGCCTAAAATGGACACTAAAAGGGGACGCTAACACAAAATACTTCCATTCCTATGCCAATGGGCGTCGGCTTAGGTGTGCGATCCTCCGCTCACAGTCAGATCAGGGCTCTTGCTGACTCAGGAGGATATAGTGCGACACGTTTATGAGTTCTACCTGGAGCTCATGGGGACGAGCGAGGAGCATCGCGCAGGGATCCACGCTGACTTGTGGGACCCCTCCCAACTCGTAACCGACCGGGAGAATGAGGAGCTGGGGCTCGCATTCTTACCCGAGGAAATTGACGCGGCGCTTGGTGGCATAAAAACTGACACGGCGCCAGGTCCGGATGGGTGGCCCGTAGCCATGTTCAAGCGTTTCTGGCCAATCCTCAAGGGGCCCATGTTTGAGATTTGTAACGGGTTCATGCGAGGGATGGTTGACATCGCTAGGCTCAACTTTGGGATCCTTTCTCTTATCCCTAAGGTAGCAGGCGCTGACAACAT